CAATTAAATCTCTTACAAATGAGTAAACAGAAGAGGATCTAGTATTAGTTTATCAGTGGAATAACACTTTGGATAATCACTGAAGCCATATTTTTTCTTTTAGGTTGACATAGTGTAGAGTAGGGAATGACACCCTGTCAGGGTCTTTTTGCCATTTGTGTCTCCCATTGGGAAGATTCACCCACTTTATATATCCTGGGGGCCATTGTCTCCAAGACTAAAAGAGAGGGAAAATACAGTATTTTTAGTTATTGTCCCAACTAGAAGAAAGGAGTAATCTTCTCATAGGGACACCTTTTCTGGTTTGGATAGGTCCAAATGTGAACATTATGGGAGATTATTCCTAATTCCTGTTGTGTCTAGTACAAGAAGTGATGGTAGATCTCCCCAGTGGAACACAGAGGGCAAAAAAACTGACAGGGATTTTTAGCATTTTCCACTCTGTTTAAAACAAGAAAACGTTTGGGCTCTAGAAACAAATGTTTTGAATCAAATGTGCTACCAATTAAGTAAATACCATCTCGTTTCCAAACAGTTCCACCTGACCGCATACTAAACTTGGAGTTTTAGCTACAGGCTGTCTGTTTTTACCTGAGAGGGGCTGCACGGCAGTAAATACGTTGTGGGTGGTTTCAGTGATGCTGACACTGTCTTTCCTTCATGAGGGTGGATACTTTGCTTCCCCTTGGTTCTGTGTGTGTTGTAAAGTAGCCACCACTCCCAGCTCACTCCCATGATGGATATAAATCTTGTGTTTAGTTTACTCATTTGTTTTGCTGTTATAGTCCATCACTGGAGTGAGCTTGGAGTGGTGGCTATTTTACAACACACAGGGACCATGCGGAACAAAAGTAGCCACCCTCCAGAAGGAAGGACAGTGTCAGCACCAATTCAGAGATGATTTGATAATGTTCAGCTGAGTGATACACAAAGAAGATTATTTTTGTTAATAGTTCAGGTACTTGAATGCATGTTTAAGATTTACCTCTCGAGTTTAGTATCACTTTAATTAAATAAGTGGATTTAATTTTGTGTTGCTTGTGCTGATGTATGAAATGTGGCCATGAGCCAAATAAATATTTTCTGCAATATGTACTATATTTTTTCACAATTACAAGATAAAAATGGGTTGAACAGTGCTGGCTTTGTATAACCATAGCAAACAAAATAAACACAATCAGAGATACTTATATTAAAAAGTACATATTTCAATGACATCTGATGCCTAAATGGTAACTTGCAGATGGATGTAAAAATGACAAATACAATATTAAAAATTAGGGCATTAGATGTTATTAAAGAACAGAAAACCCTTATTGAACTATTAAGTTTAGTTGATCTAAATGCTGAAACCAAGGCTGAGCATTACCATTTACAGTGTTTATAAAAATTCTGAAATGAAGACTATTTGAAAATTGTTTGTACCATCATCCTAGGGTTCTTGGCTAATTCAGTGACACTGGAGGCCGGGTTGACTTGTTGTCCTCTTCCTTATTGCATCCCCCTCATTTTAGTATTTTTAAAAACAACTACACTCTCTGCAACCCCTAGTCATCTTTTCACAGATACTGGGTCAATCAAGAAATACAGACCATGATTTCCTCCTGCTCCATGCTGTCATCAATGTTTGCTGGGAGTATTAGTAATAGACTTTCCAGCCTTTCAGAATATACTTATTATAACAAAGGGACATTAGGGAAACACGAAAGTCCATTTATCAAAGTGTCTGGTTGAAAAGATGGTTATTATACCCCAGCAACCAAAGTTATCTTATTTTAAAATATAAACTGGAAAAAGAAAGCTAGACCAAAACTGGAGCCTAACAAAAGGTAACATAAGGTAGCCTGGCAAAATGAATCAGAGGGCATACAATAAGGGCTTTTCATGTATCCATACAGTAATAATAACAAATTTAAACTTGTGCTGGAAAATTATGGCTACAGAGTGAAACATTTAAGGTGCATTCACACCCACACGTTTTAACAAATGTGTTTCAAAGCATGAACACAGGTCAGCCATTGCTTTAAATGGTACAGCGTGAGTCGGCAGAAAAAAAATTGTGTCCATTTTTTTATGACAACAAATGCAGGATATGTCAGATACTTTAATAAATACATTTAAAATATGTTTTACTCCTTCCACTGCTTTTACATATATGCATAGTGTATGTGCAAAGGAGGACATTAGTTTAGAAGGCAGCATAAATATATCATGCCATAAATTGAAACGGGAGATAAATGTATATTTCAATATCTCAAGAAGACGGTGTTGGATCAATTTCTAATTCCAGTGACCTTAAAGAGAAATCAATACTCTTTCAAATAATGTTTTGATGCCACATAAATTGTATAAAGCAGGTCTAGCAGATAAATGCTGCACAAGCAAAGTGCTTGGTAATTTTCCTTTGATATTTTCCAAAATATCATCAATATGTTGAAATTAATAATTTAACAAGAGTGACATTGTGCTGATACATAGGTACTGGAAAGTGTTAGCATTAGAACTGTATTATTATAATATCCAGAAATATTATGTAACCTTTTTTTTGCCTTTCACGTCAAAGCATAGTTGGCCAACAATTATGGCCCCTCTTTAAAGCTAATAGGACATATTGTATACATGACCTCTTGCCAGTAAGCTCCTTGTCTATGTTTGTATCTTTCACAAGTTCACTGGAGACCTATATAACTTCTACATGCTCCCCTTGGCTGCAGTTTTAACTATTCCCATCTACTTCTACTTGTTGCCTTAAATACTTCAGCATTGTTCTCACTAGCCTTACACACATAGATATAATGAACCATATGTAATTTTGAATTATATCTGTGTTTTTTTTAATATTCTAAATGTGATAGGCTTGCAAAAAGCACAACAGCTGAAAAATGCTGTAACCTTAATTGGTAGGTGAAGGGGATTCTGTTGTTCTAGGGCATGGGTGGGGAACCTCCGGCCCTCCAGCTGTGGTGAAACTACAAATCCCATGAGGCATTGCAAGATTCCTTCAGCCACTGGCATGACTCCCAGAGACAGATGCATCATAAGATTTGTTATTCCACCACAGCTGGAGGGCCGGATGTTCCCCACCTCTGTTCTAGGGCATAGTCCAAACACTGGCTGCATTTGGTTTGCAGTAAGTGCTGGTGTCCCATGGTTCCTTTGGTTTTTGGATGTGTTATATGCTGCCTGTCTTTCATGCAGAAAAAGCAAATAATCTAGGTGTACAGACAAAAAAAATGTATAATCTTAAAGGAGAACTATGAGGTAAGCACTTTTCACTCATCCTCATAGTTCTAGCCGACCTGTGACAATGAAACTGTCACAGGTCGTCTTAGTAGATCGGGAAGTGAGCGAACACATACCGGCATTCGCTCACTTCTCGATCCTGTCACAGCTCTCTGCAGTGATAGGGGAGGGACTGGATTCCCCCCTCCCCTGTCTTATCCTCCAGTGCTGACTGGTGGAACAGACAGGGAGGGGGTGGGTACAGCTGGCTCTGCCTCTAGATAAGCAGAGCCAGCTGTCACTCACGCAGCTGGGCAGATCCAGACATAATTGTGGGATCCGCTTCAGCTGCGGCATCTACAGCTTGCGGTATACTGAGCTTAGGGTGACAGGAGGATGCTAGTTTGTGTCCTCCCGTTACCATAAGGAAAACTATGGAGAAAAGCCCTAACCCCATAGTTCTCCTTTAAGGAAAATGTATACAATTTTCTATTATTCTCTATGGGGCAATTTAAAATGGGAAATTGATAGCAGTTTCTGGAGGCGTTCCATACACCAACAGTGTGCATATGGCTCCAGGTTGCCATATTGCTTTGAATTTTTATCACAGATTTAGGACATTACAGTAGCTACAGTTTTAAATAGAAAGGTAATTTTAATAACATTAAATAGCAATATGGTGCGTGCAACAATTATATATGCTATATACATTTTTTAAGGTTTTCTCATGTTTATCTTTTGAAGTGAAGTTACCCTTTAAAGTGACATTAAACCCTCAGATTTTTCAACATAAACCTATACTGTAATGTGTGCCTTACTGTAATCCATGGTTGTTTCCCTTCTCTTTGCTGCTCTTCCTTTTAAATCCTCATGTCTTCTCATGCTTGGGGAGAACATCCCTTTGCAGCTGAGTGCCTCTTCCTGTAGTGCTGGCTCAGGTTGCAAACGTACACACAGACACCATGTAGCCATTCCAGAGATAAGGCAGTGTGCTGCAAAACAGAAGTTCTGCCCAGCATGAGAACAGATACAGATTTAAAAGGAAGAGCAGCAAAGAGAACGGAAACAACCATGGATTACAGTAAGGCACACATTACAGTATTGTTTTATGTTAAAAAATCTGAGGGTTTAATGTCACTTTAAGTATGTAAACTATCTAAGGTAACAAGGCAGCTCCAGGAAAAATGGCATTTGCTGGGAAAAGTCAGTAAATCATAGTAGTTAATTTATGCTTTTTTCAGCAATCTACTAATGTTAGAAAGCAATGAGATGTGATTAATAAACATAATTGCATATTATTTTTCATTAATGATTAATAATGGATATTAATTGTCTTTAATTTGCACTAATTTAAATATAAATGTTTAATTAAGTCAAGTAAGGTACAAAAAGAAAAGCCCAAGAATTGGTCAATGCCAAAACAAAGTGTAATCTATATTTCTTATTTTTATTTAACAAATGTAGCAATGCTGAAGTTATATTTCCAATAGTAAAATTAAAATTTGATGGGTATTATATATTTTAAATAATGACAAAACATGTATGTATTTTTGTACTTAGATGAAAACAGTTTTTATTGGTGTTTAATTAAAAACCATATGCTAAAGATCTTGTTTATCCCAAACATTTATAATTGCACTAAATTTGAGCTGGAAGGGGATTGGTTTCTATGTGACAATTGTTTAATTAATCTGATACTTGAAATCTTACATTTATTTAAATGATTCTGTTGCATTTCTCCCTAAAACTTCTTAATGTTTTTTTTTCACTCTGTCTAGAATCTTTCAAGTCACTTCTGGAAAATGCACAAAGATCCCTAAATGAAATATTTGTAAGGACATATGGGCTTTTGTACACACAGAATTCGGAGGTATTCCAGGATTTATTGATGGAGCTCAGACGTTACTATACAGGAGGAAATGTCAATTTGGAAGAAATGCTAAATGATTTTTGGGCCCGTCTTCTGGAACGCATGTTTCAGCTGATAAATCCTCAATATCATTTCTCAGAAGAATATCTTGAGTGTGTAAGCAAGTATATTGACCAGCTGAAACCATTTGGAGAAGTACCAAGGAAGCTAAAAGCCCAAGTAACTAAAGCTTTTGTTGCAGCTCGAACCTTTGTCCAAGGTCTTGCCGTAGGCCGAGAGGTTATCAATAGGGTATCTAAGGTAATAACAAAGTTGTTATTTGAATGTCATTGTATTGCACTGTTTGTTTAAATCTTGACTTTTTATTCTAGTTTAAAATTAAAGTGACACTAAACTTAAGTGTTAAATCTTAAAAATGCATTCAAGTACCTTAACTGTTAGCAAAAATGTATCTTATTTGTGCATCACTTGGCTGTAGATCCTCAAATCATTTCTGAATTCCTGCTGACACTGTCCTTCCTTCTGGAGGGGGGCTATTGCATTCTTAAAGCTTAACTCCTGAGTTTAGTGTCACTTTAAGTGAGGCTTGAATAGAACTCCGGCAGTTCTTTAAGTCTCGCCTAGCCATCCCATACCCTACAAAAAACACTTTTATTTCTGTCTGTGTAGCTGCCAGGGATTTTCAGGAGAGGACATTAAGTGAGGGGAAATCTCTCTAATTGAGCCCTAAAAAATAATATATATTTCTGGAACTGATAAGGCCAGTATTTCATATTTTGCCTCTTGGAAGGAATGCCTTTACTTCCATTGACCCATATAGACTATGTCACAATAATGTTGAATTTAATGTCCTGATCAGGATATAGAGACATTATACTAGTATTTGCTTTAATTTCTTAAACTTCTCTACTCAAGATCAGGCCAATTCAAAAGAAATAGCAATTCTATGTTTATTGTTTGTCATTCACTTTTATCTTATTTTTAATTTTGAAAATTTTCAGCTACTTTTACCAAAGCTTAGTAAGAATCATGTCAAATCATATTGTTATCTGCATATAATATATAAATCAAAACAAATATGCAGGAAAAAATATATATACTGTATATACACACAAACATTGCAGGTGGGTGATAAGTGTGGTTGCTACACAGTAACAAAATAATTAGTTCACCTGCCCTTGTACATTGACTTGGGTAAGTGTAATCTTATTAGAGTTCAGCTGTGGTTAGATTGAGTTAAAATGGAAAATGGAGCCTGTAAGATAACATCTCTCAATTCATTGAATAACAACTTAAACGAAGCTACTTTCTTGTTCTTTTCTGTATTTACTTTTTTGGAAGAGGTTATAACAGTAAAAAATAGATGTTACATTTAAGTTGTCCTTTTTTTACTTTGGTTTCCAGATCTTAGCTGCATAAAAAGAGGCCACAATAGGAGAAATTTACTTTGTTCCACCAAATGTGTTTTAAAGGAATTACAACTAGAAAACATGTTTACTTAAGGGAATGAGACCTTCCTCGCACCAGTAAATTCAATGTTCGAATGCTTCATGGCAGAGCTTTAGAGGATAATTTACAAACAGTAAATGTTATGTTATAACACAAGCTTGAATTTGTATTTAAAATTAACCTATACTCTACCTTTATCAAAGCTATAATACAATTGGTAAGCAAATAAAGGAATATTGTAGCTGTGAACAAAATTGTGATACCCAAATGTTGAAGTAAGCTAGGTTTGATAATAATACATTGGTAATATTTATTACATATAAGGGACTTTATGTGGTACAATGGCTGCAATTTCTATAGTCTTATTTAGAGCACATTCACACTCTGTTACAGTAACACAAAATGCATAATAATACATGGATATATGCACAGTCTTTCTGAATGGCACCCCAATGCCCCACCCCAATGGTACACCACAACAAACAGATGGAAATTCTTTTTCCTGTGCATTACGTTTGCATTGGAGATCAGTTTGAGACATGTCTGAGATCATTATCAGCTCCAGTGGGAGTTTATTCACATGTGCTTCTGACCTGCATTTACCTTCCTTGTGGCCTGCCTTTAAACTTCTTTTGACCTGCATTTGACTTTCTTATGGCCTGGGTTTGAGTTTCTTCTAACCTGAATTTGACTTCTTTGTGACCTCCATTTGATCTGCTAAGCTGCATCAAGCTGCTTTTACAGTTATATTGACTTGAAATGGAAAAAGACGTGCTGACAAAACATGATCATTGTACACAGGCACTTTTGCTATACATGTCCACAAAAGAACGGTCAGGTTGGAATATTTTAAACATTTTATGCACGTATCAGTATTATGGAAAGTGAATCTTTCTTGAATTTTTAAGAACAAAACTCTCTATCCTCATAAAAAAAAACTATATTTGTTTGATAAACTACTTTAATCACACAATATTGCCTACTTGTGTTTAGGTAGTTTTCCTAATTGAGATATAAAGATTAAATCAAAGCATGGCTGACTGACTAGGTGTTTAGGGAGGCATGGGTACTTAGAGAAAGAATCAGTCTAAGCCAGTGAACAGTGTAATTAGTGATTCAATTAATGAATTAATCACACCAATGAAATCATTATTTCTGTGCCAAAGCAGAATAGCCATTTCCATCCATATCAATAGAAAATTGTATAGAAACATCACACCACGCTGCAATAATTCTGTGAACGATGCTCTTGATTTATGTCACTTGCACATGCTTATTATTGCTAAGCTCTTAACTCATAAATTAACATTCCTTACAAGAAATATTTAAGTCTCATGTCTGTCTTGTACAGATATAATAGTATATAAGAAAACAATTCAATTAGGTTGTAAGAAGGAACTATAGAAAAAAATCTTCTTTAAATGGTTTATCTGTGGGCTATACCACATAAACCATTCACACATTGTCACACCCAAACTGAGCATAGATTCTAAAAATGGCTGCTAAAGTCCATATGTGCAGATTGTAGTCTGCATTATGGTTCTCAATGCTTCCCCATGTGGCAGCTTACCAGAGAGGCTAAATAGAGTAGGTGGTCATAAAACAGCTCATTACTAATCAAGGTTTTCAAAGTAAAGCATTTCTCCATAAAAAAACAGTTCTCCAGAACAGACCTATCACTTGTGTCCAATATCCTCCGCTGCTCATGCAGACCCCTTAGCTACGCGACCCTTAGGCAATCAGCAGTTGACTACATGAAAAGATGTAACGTAAGTTAATTAGAGGAAAAACTACAGGAGCCCCACATGAGGACTGGAGCAACAAATCCATTCACTTGAACCATTAAAGTGTAAGTCAAGCCATTTGTTTTTTGTTTTGGATAAAGTGGGGAAGGATAAGAACACTTGTGTGATGTTACTGCTATTTGGGATTTGTGAGGAGAGATAACTTTCTTGTCACTTCCAACACAGACAGAAATATAAATGTAATTTAGGGGAAGACTAGAACTCTTGTCAGCTTTTTATTTCTGTCTGTGAAACTGTTGTCATCATGATGGTAACAGTGGGGTTTTAGTGTTTCCTTGCACTATCCAAAACTGAAAAAAAAGTTTTGGCTTTGAGGAGGAGGCATGTAGCCCTTCCACAGCCCAGGGTACAGGGCAGGCAGCAAAAAGTAAGTGTATATTTCTATGGCCATAGGCTGCACCCTTCACCAAATCCTCCTTCAAGAAAATGGACAGAGGAAGTTTGGATCAGACTGGGCTGTCATAGATTTGAAGTTGTTTTGTGGCTGTGATAAACATTTTTGTACATGTTATTTAAATATATACAAATTGTATTTCTTTGCACTGAATCCCCTTCCATATAATCCAGCGGAAAGTTCCCGGCCTTTTTTTTCTTTCTTCTCAAGGGCGCATAGCAGCTATGTATTTTAGGCCTTCTCCACCTCAACCTTGCATAGTATTCATTTCTCTAATATGCTACTATGACTCTTTCCTCCTTCTCAGATGTGCTTAGAAGCAATTTTTCCTGTTAATGCACCCTTTTTATCCTCCTCCTCAAGGGTGCATAGCAGCCATATATAATGGTCCTGCTAATGTGCACTTTTCCCCCATAAGGCCGCATAGCAGCCATTTATTTTGGGCCTGCTAATGCACCCTTTTTCTACTCCTCCAGGGTGCCCACTTACCTTTCTAGTGCTGCTTCTGCACCCTTTTCCTTCTCCAGTTTCTTTATGTCAGCTTTGCCTAACACCCCATTGACAACTTTTTTTGTGGACTGTGTTTAACTGCAGGCAGCAGCAAATGGAGGAAGGAAATGGTGCACTTGATTAAAGATAGTGAAGGGACCCTTAATCCAGTCCTGTTGATATACAATTTTAAAGAATGCACATAGCATTATTGAATATATTGATGTCTAGTATAATCCTTCTAACATATCAAATTTCAAGTGAAGAAGATATATTAAAGTGGGTATAAAAAGATTTGTTGGCTATTGTGACTACAAGACACGGCTAACTAGTTAAGTATAAAGTGAATCAATATTGCACTTTCATGGTGCATTGGTGCATTAGTTATATGACTACTTTTTACTACTATTTAACTCATTTTGATGTAGATCTTATGTACTAACTTGCCTAATTTGCCTTCTTAAATCATTTTTTAAAGAATTATCTTTACACTGTCATTATATATACCTTATGTTTTATATAGATTGTCAAACGGACAAAAATGAAAAAAGAACACCATTATTACGGTGTTTATCAAGCCAAAAACTGTTTTCTAGTTTTGCTAGAAAAAAGTGGGAATTAATTGCTGCTATCCAGGGCTCAGTTATGGAGATTTTCTCTAATTCCTTTCCTGCTGGCAACATTTTACCAAACAGGAAGTGAGGGAACTCTCCAACAGTAACAAAGACAGAAATAAAATGTTTTTCCTAAGTAGCGAGAGGTAGGCTAGAACCCGTCAGATTTTTATTTCTGTTTTTTGCAGATATTTCCTCACTTCCTCTCTGGTAAAACCATTGTTAGGAGGACTAGAAATGTTGGGAAAGCTCTCTAACAGAGCCTGGATAGTAATGAAATCTCAACATGAGTTCTAATACTTCCCCACACCATCCAAAACTAGAAAACAAATGTTTTTTTGACCTGACATACACTTTAAAGAGAGGTATGTTGCCATCTTTAGGTTGGTGTGGCATTTGCACGCCGTCAAACCTGACAGCCTGCATGTATAGCATTCACCCCTGAAGCAATCTAAATAAATCTGTTCCGCCTAGCCTGCCTAAGGTTCACAGTTCCATTTGCTGCTACAAGGGACATTCCCCAGCAGCAGGCAGAGATTACCAGAGCTT